GGAAACACAGAATTTAACTTGGTACCATCAACAAAATAATATATACTAAACACCAGCTGCAACTATCAAGAATCACTATGTTAAATATGTTGTACAGAGTTAGTTTTTGCAGTACTGAACATACAAGCTCAAACAAAACCCAGTAGCCAAAAAAATCCTAGGAGCAATGGATCCTACGAGCATAAGCAGCTACTCAGTCCTGCGCTGCATCGTACAGAAACGCAAGATTGTAGCTCTGTAATGTAAGAATAGGGATATTGCTTTATAGCCTACGCAGTAGCACTACTCCATTTACTCCATCTGACCTGAGCAGGCTGCCAACTGCCTCTATTAACTTACCGTGAGCAAAGTCCTGCTTTCCTGAGCAGAGGGAATCAAACAAGAGATGTTTCCTTTGTTCACAGTTTTGAGATCTTTCCAACCAACTACACATAAAAAGCGCCATCTTTTACAGATTTTTCAGAAGGCTGTGTGCCTTAAGTTTGTTATTCTGTTTTCTCGATCTTTCCTTTTTTAGTGCTATTTCTCACTTTCTCCTCACACACAGTTCCAGCACTTCAATCCAAGTCCTTCATTCCCGAATTTAACAGATCAAAGAGCTGCCCTTTGACTGTATAGCTAGTTACTAGTTCAACCTCTCGTGAGATGTTTTTCCAGGTCCCTAATGCTTCAGTCTTCTATTAAGAAACTAGTTCTATTGCTATTTACTGGGTTTATTTATGCACATGAAAAACCACTGTTAAACATAAATTTCAATAAATTTCTTCCTTCAACAGAATTTAGATTTGCTTCAGCAGCCCAATAAGCTATTATGTTGCTAAAGATTTACTAAAGGGCAGAACATTCAAGAACGTTTGTACACCGGTTATGGAGGGCAGGAAGGGGGACCATTCAGATTTCCTTGTGCATCTTGAATGGCTCAGTGATCGTTCAACGTTCAAATCCCAAAACAGAAGATTGGACTCAGATCTTTAACGTGACAACCTGCTCTGATCGACCCTGCTTTGAGCAGGGGGTTGGACTGATGACCTCCAGAGGTGCCTGCCAACCCCAGCCGTTCTACGGCCCAGCACTGCACAAAACTCTTACCATGAAGTAACAAGCTGTACCTGTCCCAAAGTGCACAGGTGGGTCTACTATATTTTTACAGTCTCTGCTTTATCTGCTATATCAGAGTATATTCCTTCCTCTTAGTTTCTCCTCTTATGAAGAAAAATAGGGAATTGCAAGGATTTTATTTTGGTCGCAAATTTTCATCTTGAGATTCAAAATTATTTCTCAAGTTATTTCAGCACTCTTTTCTTTCTTGGATTTCTTGATCATTGCTTTGTTGATGATTTGTTCAGCACTTCTAAGTTTCCTGATTGTTAATTTGCAACCCAGCAGATCCCACTGAGAAAATCAAGCGCTCATGAACTATGTACTCTGACTCTCTTCCCAGATACCTGTAGTCCTTCCCAATTCTTGCATTGCCTCAAGACCTACAATTCTTTCAACCACTCTTCTAAAATACATGAAAATGTAGTAGCCTGATTTTACCCTCTTTTATTTGACTGCCAAAACAGAAAGATGACGAAGTGCGAAACTATCCAAAAAGTACCAGTAACAAACACATCAAATATTCATCCCACTCCTACTTACTGTTTCATTAATGAGCCAGCTGGGCAGAATAAAAGCAGTGTCTCATATGGCCTACAATCTTACAGTGCTTTATACCTGATCTTGGTGAATATTCATTATTTTCAAAGCCACTTGGTATATTTAAAAATAAAGCATAAAAATTTCATCATCATTTCATCATAATTTAAGACATACCTTGAACATAACCAGATATATCTTTTCACAATGACTTAAGAAAAATTCTCATCAATAAGAGACTGGAAAAGCCTGCCAGCTTTAGCTTCTCAGCCCATCAATATCAAAGAATTTTCAAGAAGGGCAAATAGCAGAGGTAAGTTAAAATATATTTTGCGGTCACTACATGTGAACCACCATGAGAATCAACAAAGACGTACATTGTATAACTTTGGTCACATGTACACTGAAAAAGTACCTTCTCATCTTGCCCCAGAAACTCAGAGAAATCAAACGACCTAGTAAAAATGAAACCCATAAAAACTGAGTTAAACTCAGCAGGACAAATTTTCATAATAGTTTCAGCACTACAATTCCCCTGAAGTCAAATGGAAATGCATTGGTTCAGCTTAGCAGAACTTGGCACAGCAAGCAGTTTTGTACTGTTCATTCTGAGTATCAGCCTGTGAAATGTTGCATCTCTAACTTCCATATGGCTACATCTTAAGTAAGATTACACAGTTCTTTTACATCTTAGCATTTTATTCTAAGTATTTAATTCATAGCACATCATGAGTCAGGCTGTATTCTCTGTGTCTTTTTCCAGGGTTTTGTTTTTCCTTCCGTCTTTGCGTTCTCTCTCAAAGACATCCAACAGTCAAGACCGGATCTAACGCTGCCCTTCCATGAGAGGCTTTCCACTAATTTCAATAGATTTTGGATCAATCTCTTGCCGTCAAGTTTATGAAACTGGAATTTTTATAACTTTGCAATACATAATTAATTGGCAATTCCACTTGGCTTTTGTCAAGGAGCTCAGGTTATTTTCAGATATGTTAGGATACACAGACAAATACAATATTTAAATCAATAAAAGACAGACCTATAAATAAAGAACTAAACTGAAGTCACTCTGGCAAACAGTAGTAAGGCTTTTGCAGAAACCCAGAGTTTTGCACAGGGTTCTGTACTAAAGCAAGGTATGGCTAGGCACGCAGAAACAGGAATAATGCACAGCATGACCTAAGCACCTACATGAATTTGCACCGAACTCTCCAGGAGTCCAAGAGCAGGCTTCCCCACTGAGGCACTGCACACAGAAAACAAGGACTGCGAAAGACCAGGTGTAGTTATAGGCACATATGATACAAAGATTGTATTATTTACGGTTGTATTATTTACGAGGTAAGCAAGCAGCCAGGAGGAGTCATGTAATATTTTCCCAGCGTAGAAGAAAATAATTACACGCAGTCTTTCAAGCAAGAGGTTGATTAAACACAACAGGAAATTAGAAATGTGCCTCCCTCAAAAATGGGACACAGTAAGAATTGCCTTAAGAGACACAACCATCTCTTCGCTTGTCGGTACTATGATGACTCTCCTGTCAATTCTAGAAACAGAGGAATAACCAGACTGCCTATCCAGTGATTCATATTCCCAGCATATGGTAACATTCTTTCACTCAGTACTGATCTCATCGTGTAGCCTTAGCTGTCTTCAACTAGAGGGCATAGCAAGTAATTCATTGACTTGATTTAGCCTTATGGGAAGCAGAGGGATTGTATGAAAGCAAATTAAAAATAAGCATAAAAAGCAGGAAAATATGTTTGCTACTTTGCTTGTTCACTTTACTGGCTTAGCCATAGGGATATGTTGATTCTCCTTTTGTATTGGGATTTATTTTCTCTATAAAGTACTTTACAAGGTTCACTTGAAAAAGCTCAACAGAAGGAGATTTCAAAAATATGTTAATTGAATGTTAACAGGAACCTCTGTGGACGCCCACAAAAGCAAGATACTCAGGAAATGTCTGTTAAGATCTCCAAATATGTGCAGGAAGACTAATTTTAATCACATATTTCTAGATTTATTTTTATGAATCAATGCCACATCAATCTTCTATGGCCTTTTATTCCGAACTGTTATTTATGGAGCCCTGCCAGAAAGGAACTCACAGCACTGGCAAGCTGTTGCATGAGCCTGAGTTAATGCATGTAAAAATACTGCTTACTGTTTTCTTAGTTTTTAGGAAAGGACTATGAAGACAAGTTATAGTCCCCTTTGTGTGGCTTTTTTTTTTTTTTTAACTTGATCCTACCAGTTATGTAAAAGCTCAGTTTCATCAGGCCTCCCTCCTTGTAGAAGAGACTTCATTAGAGGCGTTTCACAACAAAAACTACTTTACCCCCCTTTGTTGTAAAATTGTAGTCCATTCCAGGGGACAGTTGAACTACCTTCAAACACGCCAGATGGGATGCTGCTAGCAATGGCAGCACAGAACAAAACCAAAGCAGATAAATGTACTGCAATTCTCCACCTAGATGTACCCAAAAGTTGAGTAGGAGGTTAAAGTCTTCTTTATGCACTAGCTGGAACAATTCTTGAGCCGATCTCCACCTGATCTTCTCAGCTACCACATGCATTGCCAACAGAAATGCTGCACAATGCACAATGATGCAGAATATAATTTCCACTGTGATCAATACTGCACTGCAAATTAAAGACTTTTTTTCCATAGGATCTATATAGCAAGCATTAAATATGCTTACTTTGCAAGCATATACTTTTTTCCATAAAGAAGGCATGCAAGTATTGATATACTCTTACTTACCAAAACAGCAATAGTTCTGTAATAAAAAGGGTGTGTCTGTCTCTCTCTTTGTACAGCAGTTATAATAAACAGTGTCACCTACTATCATTCACTAATACAGGCTCAATCTTATCAGATGTTCTGTAATCTCAACTTCTAAAAATATCACTGGCAGTTGAAGTGATTTACATTCAAAGAGAAGGGGTTCATATTCCGATCTTGTTAAGGGAAGCTCAAATATAATACAAGCATCAATTTTAAAAACATACTCTAGTAAGAATAATGGAGTAAGATGCAAACCAAAAGATTTACAAATCCATTACAAACTGCAAATACAGTTCATTTGATAGAGATGCTGCAAGGAAAAAAAAAAAAATGGCAAAGCCCTAACAATTACTATCTTGGCTAAAAAGAAACTGAAAATCACAATCACAGGGAGGTTTGCCTAAGGAAAGGCTGCATGTTTGGGACCAAACAGTAAGTTGGCAGAAGGAAAGAATACTTGCTGACATGACAAAATGTTTTTTGTCAAAGCTCTGGAATCTGTAGCATCACAGCTTGACAGCAAAAGCTCTGCAGGCCTCTACCAAAGCCAAAAGTAATTAAGTGTACTTACATGTACTCCCTGTGTGCAGAATGCACAGCAGCTGCGTTGCTGTAACGCCACAAAACTATCGCTGATGACAAAACATCCAGGGTAGCATCAAACTGAAAGAGATACAGAGTCAATTGTTTTGTGGGCCATCAAATGTGCCCTGTACTAACAGTAATGCATTTACTATCTTGCTGCACAGGCACAAAGCAGCTTCAAATAAAGCATTTTAATGAAAGCAGGATTTACATTTATTAAATTGATCTTCATATTTTTGCCACGTATTATTGCACAATGAAACACTTCTGAGCTCAGGAAGTCAATCAAGGGATTAAAAACTTTTTTATTTGTAATCCATCACGTGTGGAGAAGTTAAGAACACAAAATCACCACAGTCTACCACTGCAGCACCACAAGAGTTAAAATACTAATATGATTCTTATGCAAAGACTAAAAAAAAAAAAAAAGTGTTTGAAAATGCCTGTCAAGCATTCCTTTTTCCTGCAAAGCCACTAATTTTCTGCAATAGAAGGTTTTGTTTCAAACCAAGCGAATATTAACTTTTTTTCAAAATCCCATTGTATCTAGATTTCATATTATTCTGTATCATCAGCAAAATCGCCATGTTTGTATTTCCAGTTAATGAAGGTAACACCCAAAACTAGGCTTGTCCCACTCTAAGAACTTTCATCCTCAAGTCAAACTTTCTACAGAGTCAATCTAACCTTCAAATTTGAAAGCAAAAACCAAATTATTTGAAGTGAGTCATTTTGCTTGTCATTAGGAATTTTTTGCTCTGCCACTAATCAGGAAAGTCACAGCAACTACTAGAGAGAAAAGCTGTCATCTTGAAGTCAATAGGAGTTTTACCATAGACTTTAATAGGAAAAGGGTCATGCAAAGTTCAGAGGGGAACTTCAGAATTTGGCTCAAGTTCAACAAAAGAACTGATTAAGCTGAGAGATTTTGTCAAAGAAAACCATATCTGGTGGGTATCTATCAATGATGAGATATAAGTATCGATATTAACTCCAATATAAGACTTAGTACTCAGAAACTGAAAAAGTATAATCAAAGTATCTTTACTATCCTTTCCACAGTATGACTTCAACAATATTTTTTCTAATCCACCATTGACTTTGGACACCTTGCCATGAACTTACAATAAGAATAAATACAGTATTTCATGTTCAGAAAAAGCCCATGAAAAAAAATGGTAGAGAATATTTAAATTGTGTTTCTACTTACAGCAAATCCAAATGATGATGCACTGTATCTCATTACGGAGACAGCTAAAGGAAAGAAAATATTATTTAGAATCACTTCAAATTTTTTTTGCATCCTTTCTTCTTCTCTTGTCTGAGAGCTACAAAACTAGTTTCAACACATGGGCTTAGTTTCAGCCCATTCCCACTAGAATGACCTGACCGACACTTTAAAAAGGCCTGCAAGAAAGGTCTTGTGCTGCAGGAAATGGTTAGGTCACTCAAGAGATGCTTTTCTTTCTTCCAAACCCGTAATGGGGCAGACCTTAGCATAGCATTCAGAAACAGTCTGTTTATGAAACACGCTGCATTTGAGATGCAGTTTTGAGTAAAAATATGTTGAAATCACAATTTCAAACTCTCAGAAAACTTTGCATGTCTCAACGTGCTCCTTGCTCCAGCTAGGCACAGAAGTCCACCTGAACTGGCTGACAGAAAACTATGCAGGCCCATCCAGACTTCATGACTGCCACCTTTTTGACAAAACGCCTAAGGGTAATTCACACAGCCCCAAGAAATGCTGCAAATTCCATCGCATCAGTGATTGCCAATGGAAAAAGCATTAGCAGGAAAGATTTTGACCAGCTCTGATTTTGACTGCATACTGCCTCTAAAAAATAAATGAGACTTTAAAAATGGGCTAACATCCAGAACAAAATATCATTTCTATAATTTTACTCCATGCATCCTAATTCTATCATCTCACAGTTCCCAATTCTAGGAGGTACTATGCAAGGAAAAATACCTTTCATTAGCCCAGAGGAATACCAGGGAAGAAGCAGGCAGCAATGGAAGAGGCCATCACCTGGAGATGGGTCTTCATCAAACGGCAACTCTCACAGGCTAACAGCGACACTACAGCTATGTTAAGCTCTCGAGCATTGAGTAGCTCTAGCCTTCTCGCTGTGTTTTGTAGACTATCAACTGAGAATGGTACTCACTGAACCTGTTCACCCTGAATAAAACGCACAGCACTCTAGTTCCAGTATTAAGAGATGAGGGCTTGGAATAAAGCCTAAAAGGATTAATTTTACTACTCATTTATGAGCAGATACCAGCTAACTTACTACGAAACATACATTTTTGTAAAAATAAAAATACTTGAAAAAACCAGACTCATCAACGACTTTGTCAATCTTAGGCTGACAAACACAGTATCTAATTTTCAGTATTCCAGTATTTATTAGAACAGCTTGGCAGAACAGAGCTACTATGGTTTGACTGTTCTTTTCAGTAACAGCAAGCTGCAGTTCTGTGGCACTTATCTGGATAAACAGAAATTAAAATCTTGGAAAAAATAACCCTTTTCTTCTTGATCTAAGATGTAGCTGTGGCCACGAGCATGCCAGATATCACAAATATTTGGACTTTATCATTACAATTGGCCAAAACACAAAGAAAAGTCATCAAGTTCATTTCCAGATTCCCATTTTCTCAAAGTTTAAGAGTACTGAAACAGCTAGTATGGCCTTACATCTCCCTCCCATTGTTAAATCATGATTTCCCAGACTTCACCTCCTAGGTGAAAAAAGAGGCTATATTTCTTGGTCAGACTAGCCAGGCAAGAGCTACACTTGACAAGCTGACACTAGCTTGTAGTGATCCACCTGCAAATTTGAACACTTCACTGCATAATAATATATTACTTATCAAATTTTCAGTTTCAAAAACTGCAGAAGTTGCATCAAAAAAATACGGGCATTCACAGGTACACACAAGCTTGCAATGTTCCTGTTATTACTGCTTTCATATGATGCAGTTCAAAGCCACACTTTTACTCCTACTTCTATTTCTAGCCTGTCCCTGTAGTGGAATTAGCACCTCAGCTTTTACTAAATTGCCAGCTTTTTTCCCCACTTGAATCCAGACTTAAAACAAATTAACACTATGATTCCCTTAAAAGTGAATATATAATTTCTACGGGTGATGAAGCGCATACAGATAGCCACACCTTAAGAATGGTATTTGGTGTATTTAAAGCATAAGGTCTTCCGCATGAGAAGTGTCTTTATTTTTACGTATTCTATCACCGTGAATATCCACAGCACACACAATCTGCATGACCCGAGCTATCTAAAATGGTAATTAAAACCAAGTATTAACTAGCAGTGTCACAAGTCTGCTTAAACCTTTTTGGTAGCTGGTGAATATGACTGGAGGAAAGACTTTCCAAGGACTGGTACCCTACAACACTAACTTGTAGTGGTAAAAGGCCAGAATAAAAGTAGTAATGACCATTTAGGCACTGGAAAGATACATTTTTATATTATTTATTTACGTACTGGTTTTCTAATGGGAAAAAACATCCCTTTGTTATTTGACTCTGAAAGAAAGACAATGTTAAAGCACCTTCAGCCCTGACTTAAGCATATTGATACTTCTAGCTGACACGTACAGTCATAAAGCTCACCAGTAAATCACCCCAGCTTGAATGCGATGTTTACCCATGAGTCTAGGCTCTATGGCAGAGAAAGCAACTGTAATATTGGCATACAGGACATCAACCAATGCAGATTGCCACGAGCTGACCACATCCTCTAAAGATAACGACTGGCTCCCATTCTAGGCACTGAAGCTGAAAGGACTTTTAGAGAAGTACTTCTTAGCATCCAAGCACTTGAGACTCCTGGGCAAAGGAATAACCAGTGGTCCTTATGCCTCCAATATCACAGCCATGCTCCTCGAGCAATGTACGGCACTGCAGGAATGGATCACAGAGCTTTTGCTGAACCCTCACCTTCCTTCACAATACACATTTTCAGTTATTCTCAGAAGAGCCTCTGATGCAAAAAAAAAAAAAAAAAGAGATTCTTAATCTCCATATTGAATCAGTACAATGGTGGGAAACAGGCAATGAGGAAAGAACAGAGCAGGTAGCTTAAAAATCCTGTGGAGCCACTGCATACATTTAGCAGCTACACTGCCATGACAGTGGGAGCCTGCTTTTAGCTAGTTTATTGGCTAAATTGGACAGCATTTTATTACCTCTACAATAAAGCAGATAATCCTAATGCATTTTCCTGACATTTGTAAACGGAACTTACAAGCAGTCAGAAACTAAAAATAGAGCCAGCACAGTAAGCCACAAATCTGACACTGCCTCTACCTGCACAGCGACATCAATTTGTGAAGTCTGCCAGCCTATAGGTCAGATTTCACTGTAATTCCTTCACCCCTTCCAAAATTATTCCAAATAAAGAAAAATACCCTATTTCCCACACATTCTACCCTCAACAAAATAAGGGTTTTTATTCATTTCCACGTGCCTCAGAAAAATCATATGACTAGGGCCCTAACCCTACAAAATCATTGCAATTTAACTCTTCAGCCATCTAGTCTCCCAGCAGCCTTCGCCAGGTTTAATCTATCTAAAATGTGTTCCTGGAGAGCCAGGACCCGACAGTGACCCTAGGCCTCTCTTTTCCTTCTCTGCATTGGGAGAGCACCCTGGTATCTTTTTGCACAAACGTAGGAGGCAAGACATAGGACAGGAATTAGCTCTGCCTCCAGTTCTCCCAGACAGAAATCTTTGGGATGACTCTGGCTACAAATGAGAGATGTTACGTACAAACGGCTCCTCTATCCATCATAAAAATCTCCTCTTACCTACCCAGAGAGGGGAAGACTATTTTTAGGAAGCTCCTCTTGATGGGACAATCACTCTGTCATGTTTGCTTTGAAATTAGCCTTTTGAAAGACACACCTGGATGTTGGCACATAAAATCTGGCTTCAAAGAGCATGACCTGCACTGAGCAGAAATCAGGTAGGCAATTTGAACATCACTGAAAGCACTGGGTTTATTTCTATGCATATTACGATGCCTATCTTATAGGTTGCACAGAGTCACAAGTAAGAAGAACTGGAAGCTGTGCTGAATCAGAATTGAAACTGAAATACAGTCTGTTTTCATTGTCCAGTGTTGGTAAAACACCAAAAACTAACGTTACAATAAATATTTCAAAATAAATCCATTCCAAGCAGAGAAAACCAAACGAGTAATACTTTCTAAAAATTCCTCACAACAACTGAAGGCAAAGAACAGAAATGACGCTGATACCGTTAATACTTGTAAAAAACCCTACTGACCAGGATCAACAGGTATTGGACTTACTGGACACGTGCATTTCCCCAGGCCCTTTCTCCCCTCCTGGAAATTCCAGTAGAGCAAAATTTAAGGGTTTTTATGCACATGCCCAAAATTTCTGCAGTCAGCACAGTAGCTACAAATGGCTGCTAAACATCCAATATCTCAGACACAAGTTTGCCAGACATCTAATCTACATGGGCAGATCCAGCGCTATCCATCAATGTCATGTTTCCACACCCGTATTTCTATCCCAAAGTAACTGGCAAAACTGTACCAACTCTATCTATACAAAATCTTCAGCTCATTTTCCCAGTTTATAATTGCATGAACATGGTGAAGACCCTTATTTCTGGGCAATACCATTATACTGTTATGTATGTATCTACCAAGTAGAAGCACAAGTTTAATGTATATTAAACCTGGATCTTGATCTCATTAGAATTTATGGCCTATTTGTAAAGAAGTCCCTAAGAGGGTTCATTTTTCCACCTGCCTGTCCTAGTGACTCCGTGCAGAATGAACTGCAGCAGGGTACTAGGAGACCCCCATCCTTGGGGAAGACTCAGCTGTGGGACGTGACTCAGTGAACGGGGCCCTAAAGGAGCCAGACATCATGTCCTCGGCTCTGCCACTGCCTGGGGCATGACTGTTAGGCCAAGAAATTACTCTTCTCGAGTTCTTTGTTTTTCCAATGTCTGAATTTGTTTTCTGTACAAATTCTCCACGCTTCAGAGCAGCGACTGTATCTTCCAGTCTGTCTCTACTGTCCCCTGGACTATAGGCAGGGCTGGAACTTCTCACTTCTAAATGTGTACAAAAGCAACAAAGCTAAGGAACCTAGGATTTACTACTCCCTTCCTTCAAAAAGAAAGTGCAATCCCACCAAAACTATTAATCAGCTTTACCTTTTCCTTCATTTTTTTAAAGGACTGAGATCCT